GTGGCTAGGGGTGCTGGAGGGCACGGCTGGCGGAAAAACTACCCACGGGCATTTTGTACTCTCCCCAGTTTCGCTCGCAGCAAGAGACCAAGATGGCGGCCCATCGAACTCAACGATCGACATCTACGATCTCACGGAAAAATAGGGGACTGCTGAACAGTCTACTTAAGGACGCGGCCGGTCCCATTCTCGTCCCCAGAGCCCGTTTTCTCTCTTAGCCGGTGAGGCCTTGACACGATAAAAAGGTGACTTCCTTTATAATTTAGAGCATTCTCACATGAGCTTCAAACATCTTCCCAAACTATCCATATTTTAACTCCTTTTTGTCACCTAGGAAATAAGTCATTCCGGGTGTGCATGTTAGGATATATTGCGGGTGTACATGTCAGGATTCCGGGCCTTAGGTTCTGGCTTTCCAGCCTTTAGGACAACCCGCCGCTGGCCACGAGAGTGAAGCCTTGAAATGAAAATAGGAAAATTTATTTTTTTCTTTGACGATCGTTCAGTTCCTTACTTCAGCTGCTTTTTATTTGACTGTGGTCACGTGTCATTCGTTTGCACCCAGGGCTTCTCCTCAATCCAGGGACCTTAGCTACGAAAGAGGTTGTTTCTTTCACTGCCCTGTCCAGACGGACCCTAGTCGTACGATTAAATTATTTTAAAATCGGTTGCGCCGCTTAATTTCCGTGCGAGTTACTATGGTTACCTTAAGCCTTCAGAAGAACGTCACTAAAATCGAGATCTTAGAATATAGTTATGATAATAAACAAAGGCAAGAGAAATTTGAAAAGTTTGTAGTTTTGGTTGCGCGCTGGTCCAAGAGGTGCTTATCAAATTACCAGAAAATCCACTTTACCCGGCCGCTTCGTTTTTTATCGTTCGCGCGTTGTCTACGTGATTCAACCGCACGTAAATCTCGCACTCCTCGACACTCGTGAAGATTCTGTCGAGCAGCAGCAAGGATTATGGGCTTATTACCAGCGCCTGAAACAAACGAAACAAACATGGCGGAGAAGAAGCCGTCGAAAGAAGGTAAGGAGTTTTAACAACCACTTTTTTCTCTTAAGTTGCACAGATTTCGTTATTTGATTGTGTAATTATTGTCGTAGGAAATAATTTTTGCTTCTTTGCCACACGGCATTTTAACCTGTTGATGACTTAAAAGAGATTAGAAATCGCTTTCTTGTCTGTTTCGTGTACAATGAGGCGGTTCGAATCTTTCTTTCTTCATATTTTGATAGTTTATTTGCGGCTTATATCGACGAGATATCTGCTAGTAAAAGTTTATGGTGAGAAGGTTCATGACTTCATCGTTCGACCGCCTGACTGGTCGTTTAACGATCGACAGCTGAAATTTTTAATTAAGCTTAGTGAAAAGTTTTGAACTTACAAACACGTGGCGAAATTTAATGAAGTGTAAATGAATGCAAATTCTGTTGTATTTGTTTGTGAACCTGTACTCTCCGATGCTCCGTTCCCTCTAAAATAACTGAAAATTTTAATGCTTGTTTCTCCTTAAGTTTTAACAGGTCAGCTTAGCTTAATTTGAATTCATTTTAAAGTACGAACGCCTGGCTAGACTTGTGATAAATCCCTGGCTTGCCCTTTCGGGATGACCCCAGAATTACCACAGGGAGATGTTGAGGAATACATGTACAAAGAGATTACATGGAATCTTCCCATATTCCAGGGAAAAAATGAAAACTTAGTGAGATGCTTGAAGGATAGGGGAACATAAAATTTTGTAGTTTACATATATTTATTATATATTTTTTTCATTCAGATTCTTGCAAAGTCACCCAGTGGCATGAGTACAAGATTAAGTGAAAAAAATGTAAAAAAAAGACAAAAACAAAAACAAAAAACTGGGGAAAGCTCAAATAAAATGGAATAAAATTACAACAAATAAATGTGGTCAGAGATGGTGGCCTTAATTTTGTGGAAGAGACAGTCTCTCGACAAGTAATCAAATGAAAGACTGTTTCAGTTGATGATAGTTCTTGGCCAGAAACAATATTAAAAAAGAGGAGAACTTGGCTTGTGCCCCCATACCAGGGGGAAATTGGTCAGATACCTTCACTCATTTTTAATATCCTGGGTAACTTCAGGGATCAATCCCAGGGAAAGTCTTTTGCCAGCAGTAACCAGGTCGCATTTAGGATTTGTCCAAGATAATTTTTTAATTCAAATGGTTTTCTATACATTAACATATATGAATTTTTAACACTGCTAAATTGGTAATTTAAGAACTTATATACATTGCCAGTTTGCTGTCCAACATGTATGTAGAAGTTTAAGACTGTTTCATATTTCAATGTCATGCATATCATTTATTCTACTTTTACCACTTATTTGTTTTCTATATTCAGAGAGTGGCTGGTGCAACCTCAAGTACGTTAGTCTGCTCACCTTGACAATACAGAATGCATCCTTAATCCTCACAATACGCTACTCACGTACCTTACCTGGGGATATGTACATTACATCAACGGCAGTGGTGTTTGCGGAGGTTTTTAAAGTGGTGGCATGTTTGCTAATTATATTTGCTGAAAAAGGCAATCTTCGTGATTGGCTTGGACAGCTGTACTCTACAATCATTGGTCAGCCATGGGACACACTCAAACTCTCTGTTCCAGCATTACTTTACACAGTGCAAAATAATCTACAATATGTTGCAATCTCAAATTTGGATGCTGCTACTTTTCAGGTGAATGAAAGTAATTACTGTCATTAGAATTCTGATATTGTGCTTTGTTTTATTAATCAACAATTACGTGTAGATTATGAGCTCAAGATTTCTATCATGCATGGAGATTGAGAGCAGAATAAAAGTTGTTCAAAATTGTAAAGACACGGTATTGACCATTATGCTTTTTGTGAGTCTGTTATTGTTTTGATTTACTTGATCGTAGGGTTTCTATTGTATTCCAATGCTGAGAGCGTGCAGTGCATCCCGACCAAAATTGGGTATTTACTAAATCTTCTTCAAAGCTGACAGTTTGTAATGTATACAAAATAAAAATGCTCCACATTAATTTCACTGGCTGAGCTATCATGGATTTTCACCATTGACATAATTTACCCAAGGCATGCACTGACAAAACACCGTGTGAATGTGCAATCTGACTGCCCATACACAGGGCAGTCTCATTGATAAACTACACTGTGTGCTAGTCAATCTGTAAAAATGGTATTGATCAACTTAATGATTTCACAAAGTTCCTGAAATAAACTAGTATTGACAACTTCGTGATTCATGAAATTCCTGAAATGAACTTGTTGTTCATATTTTCTGTTGTTTTAGTAGATTAGTCAGTGGCCTTAATGTACAATGTGCAATCTCCTTTGCTATCATCTTTCTCTCTGGATTAAATTTAAACCATATCTGAACCTTTTTCAAGTGTCAGTTTATGTGGATCGCAACATGGTGGAGTTGCACCAACATGTTTCTTTTAGTTTTTGTTTTTTTTTGTTGTTTTGTTGTTTTTGTTTTTTAGTTTGAGTTCAAAAAACTAGATTGAGGCTGGTATGTATCACGTGACCCTCTCACATGATCTCTTTTGGACCAAAATTTAGAGGAATACATGCGGAACAAAGATAAAAAAAGAAAAAAAATGTATTATGTTTATTGCATGAAATGTAGATCAGGATAAGAAGGTTATTCACACTGTAGGATACTACTGAGCAATTAAATAAAGTTTTCTCACTGAAAATTAAGATTATGTTTTATCTTTGTTCAAAGGTGACATACCAACTAAAAATTTTGACAACAGCACTGTTCTCTGTGTTCATGCTCAACAAAGCCCTAGTCAAACTTCAATGGCTGTCACTCTTTATGCTGTTTATTGGTGTTTCCATGGTACAGCTTCAGCCCACACAGCAATCTTCACCTCATGCAAAAGACAATGAGCCTAATGAGACTGAGGAAAAAGAGAAAGTCACTCAGAGTCCAGTGCTTGGTTTAGTCTCAGTCATTTTGTCAAGTCTTTGCTCTGGCTTTGCAGGTTAGACCTTGACATACAATGTAATAATACAACTGTAATATTGCTTATAATTTATACAAATCAGCATAGAAATTACAGTTACTCATTAAGTTTCATGCTTAAAGTGATCATCAGACAGTCTGATGATGGCTTCAGGCATGAAACTCAATGAGAAATTATTGTAGTTTCTATCTTAATTTGTATTTCGCTCTACATGTATTTGTATCAAGCACTCCTATGATTGTGTGAAACCACTTCTATTTTTCTTTGTTTGCTATTTATATTATTCTTCCTGGGGACAGTTTTTAGCACAGATCAAATACAATTTAAAACTTGTTTAATATGTGTTATTAGTAACTGTCTGGGCTACTCACTATCTATATATGTAGATAGTGAGTAGCCCAGCAGCATGCACCGGTGGCTACTTCTATGTTTTTTTGGAAGTGTCTTTGAAGAGGATTTAGATTGAAGTTTTAGATTTATAAATACTAAAACAATTAGATTATTTGCTCTGGATTTCTACGCAACTGTGTGATAGTTGACACGGGCTGCGCCCTCATATCACGCGACAGAAATCTCCAGCACTTAATCAAAGTGTTAAATAGTCTGCCATCTTGAGCTGGAACTATGGTGCCTGAAGGTGAGCAGTAAAACTGCCTGAAATGTCACATTTCAAAAACATTTTAACCTCAGGAAAGTCCCTTGTAGAACAAGATTTACTGTTATTGATTTATTTTACTTGTAAACATGAGAGATTCTGGAAGTTTCAGGAAAACTATAAATTATAATTTCTATTCTGCCACACACTATATTCAATAATCATACTGAAGATGGCACATGCATCTGCCAAGACATGTTTGTTAAACTCAAGTGTGCCGTGTTCTTTAAAATGATACTCACAAGTACATTTTTCTGTTACATTGTAATTCAAAGGTGTGTACTTTGAGAAGATCTTGAAAGGATCTAAAACATCTATTTGGCTACGAAACATTCAGTTGGGCATCTATGGAACAATAATTGGCCTGGTTGGCATGCGTATTAAAGATGGTGACAAGGTCGATGACAAAGGCATGTTGTTTGGTTACACTGCCTTGGTATGGATTGTGATTTCCATGCAGGCGTTTGGTGGTCTGTTGGTTGCAGTCGTGGTGAAGTATGCTGACAACATACTTAAGGGTTTTGCAACATCATTTTCAATAATCATTTCATGTGTTGTGTCTGTGTATCTATTTGACTTCCATATCAATGTGCAGTTCATGTTGGGAGCTGTATTAGTTATTGCAGCCGTTCTTCTGTATGGAAGACCACAGAATCAAGTGAAACCAGGCAGTGATAAACCTGCCCCTCTACTTAAAGTGTAGGCCTTCACAGTGAAATTTGACTCATTGTTAATTAGGTCTTTGGCCTTTGCATGTTTAATCAGGTAATTAAAATTCTCTGTTGGGGTTTTAGTTTTACTCTTAGATGCACAAACTAACTCATACATCCACCGTAGGTGCCTTAAAACAAGGGGGGAGGGGTTAGGTGCATGGAATCCCTCCCCCGGATGTTTGTTCTGTTAACGTCCCACCCACCCCCTTACCCCCTTAAGTACATTCAGCTTTTAACATGAATTCTCTCTCTGGTAACATTATTTTGTGATAAATAGCTGCCAATGGTGGAGACTAGAGGGTCTGGGAAAGGTTCCCTCAGAATTTTTTTTTTTATTTAGAGCTTAGAAATGCAATTACCAGCATCCTGCATGGGGATCAATAGTACGAGGGCTGTGTACACCAGTTTTAATAACAGGACTAAGTTATATTAGTTCAGAGGGCCACCAACTAAATTCAACCAATCAGATCACTCCATTGCTGGTGCAGCACTCTCTGTTATTGGCCACTCTTGAAGATTTTCTGATAATATTTTGGCTTACATTTCTGACAAAACTTGCTTTCACATGAGAGATTCCTTTTTTTCTTTCTTCTGACTCTCTTTGCCTTCTGCTTTGTTTAACATCAGACCTGAGTTTACATGTAACACCTAGTGGCTCCCAATCAGCAATGCACACTTGAAGTTTGCAATGTTTTTCTAGTCCATGATTGTGGCATTTTTCCTAAACTTTTTCAGTCATGTAATAAAATGTCTTATTAATAACCAAGCTTGCTTTGGACCATACTGGGCAAATTTAAAGTGTGTGATGTTTTTCCAGTCTGTGATTGTGGCATTTAAACACTTTCAGTTGTGCAATAAATATCTTATTTAATATTTAATAACCAAGCTTGCTTGGGACCATACTGAGAGAGTATCAGGCCTCTGTCATTTTTGTACAGTGGTTAACATGCATGTTAGATTCATGCATTTGATTTTTACATTGTATATCTCAAAAATATTTTTGTCTGCAAAATTACTGTAAGCTGAAACAAGGCTGTTACATATAATTATTGTTTGAGACCTTCAGAATTGGACAAGTTGTCCAAGACGTTTGGTTAATCCAGGATTAGGCAAAAAGTGTGAATTCTTTTTTTTGAATCTATAACTTTTTAGGCAGGATTTTTGCTTAATCTGGGTATTTCCTGTCCTGACATAAACCAGTCTCGAACTCTGCAAAGAATTAGCAATAGTCCTGGTTAATCTTAGTAGTAGATTAAGGCCAATTATGCAGCACAGCCCAAATTCACTTTTTTCACAGTTATGCAAAAATGTCAAATTCATTTTGTTCTAGAAAATGTACATGTACACTGTACAAGTAGAATGAAGTGCCCTGCAAAATTCAGATTTTGAAGTCTTGTCTTGAATGTGAACTAGTCTTGCATGCAGGCCACTTTTATATGGGAGCTTCTTGTTTCATGAGGTAACACACAAGTTGTTGAAGGTTATTTAATAAAATAAATAATACAGTATATATATATATATATATATATATATATATATATATATATATATATACACATTTGTACATGAAAATCAAGCTAACAAATATATTTTGAGGGAAAATTAAAAGCATTCTTGAAAACAAAAATATACGGTTTGTTAAAGATAAGCTCCAATGCACAACCAAAACTGCACAAGATTGAAGCAAATGATTAAACTCCTAACATGTCAGTTTCAAGCTCTCACTGAACAGAGATTACAGTTGACTCAGTTCACTCAAACAGTCAAGGGAAATTATGAAACATTTGAGTTATCAGGAGTTCAATTTCATAGGGCAAAGGGAATCAAATATGAACTGCACGAAATCTAACACCACCAAGAAGCCAAATTTTTGGACACTTACATGTAAGATTAAATGGCTGCTTAGCCGGCTTGCAGACGTCTACTTTTTCTTGTAATTTTTTTTTTTTTTTTTTGTATGAAAGGAAATACTGCATATTCATGTAGACTGCTGTACACAGCTAATGCTGCTCAATTTGGTTCAAATTTCATGTTTTTAAATGTAATGAAGTATGGTTTGACTCATTGCACTAAATGATAAAGGGGTTCAAATTATTGACAGCAACATTGTAAAGATTTAATGAATGGGAAACAATATGCTGACTTTGATTTAGTGGGTGTTCAAGTCATTCAGGGGGTAAAATTACAGTAAATGTATGAAGCAAATCCAGGGGAAATCAGTTTTAATTCAAGCTTAATGTGTAAGATTCGAATTACAGAGGGCTTGAGTTACTGGGAGTCAATGATATTTTTATGAGATTTTACTGGAAAGTCAACTTTGGAATAAAAGCCAGGCCAAACAAACAAACAAAAATTGGTCTCAATTTGCAGGCTCATTAGAATGCCTCAAATTTATTTAATATTAAGCTATTTGGACACCGATTAAATGGTGTCGTCACATGACTCTTATTTATTAGTTAGCAGGGTAATATGACTTATATGTTAGTTAAATTACATCTGCATTTTCAGCAGTATGAATTATCATATTGTAAAATACTGATACTTATGTAATAACATAGGCGTATGTACTCTGGTAATGTGTTAACCTTATATAATTTATGTTTTCATTGTACAATGTTAAAAGTAATGGTTAAATTTGGGAATATGGAAACATGACAGCTACATTACTTTTACTTCAGTACTGTGCATTTCTTAATAATTTTAGTTTTAATTTACACATTAAAATGATGGGTGTGATCATCCAGAAATTTTCAAAGGACGTTTTGAGAACGTGGCGATAATTCTGTTTCACTGATTCTAGCTTAGAAGGTACCAGTAGACCATTGCAGTTGTCTGCTCAGTAACGACCTTTGAATGACAGCAAGGCTGCAAGTGACCTTCTTTTGATACAGACCTTTGTTTTGTTGTGTAAATCAAGTTGTTCTTATGCCAACTAGTTGGCATTTAAATGAAAAAAGTAAAGAGGTCTGTATCAAAGCAAGGTCGCGTCCAGCCTAGCTTGCATTCATAGGCCAGGTAACTAAGCACACAACTGTAAAATGGCCTAGTCCTTTTTCTGCAAACTATCAAATTTTTTACCCTAAAAGTTACCATGTCTAACAGTACACAATTAGGACTTCAACACCACAAACTACAGATTTTGACCCGCAAATGGCACAATGATAACCAACATCACTTTTCGTGGGAATTGTCACTATTCCTCCCCTTCCCCCCTCCCACGTTACGGTTTGCGCATCTACACGGGTTTAGTTCGTCGTTTGCAATCCGTATGAAAACTGCTCAGCCCTTGACCATCCTTGTTCCTTTATGGATTATTATTATACGGCTAGCTCCGTGAGCAGGCAAGATGAATCAAATCCTGCGCTGTGATTGGCTACCCGAGCGGGCAAGATGGAGCTCTCTTGCCCGCTCGGGACTACCCGCCGTGTCCCGCAAAAAAAAAAAAAAAAAAATTTTCCCGAAAGCCATATATATTGACCAAGCTTGTTCGGTCAAGATGGCTGGATATTGGCCTCGTTCTTATTTTTTTTGCGAGTTTATGGACCTCGACTCCGTCTCGGTCTATAAACACGCAAAAAAAGAACTTGGCCAATATCCAGCCATCTTGACGTCACACTTGGGCAATAACCCATACATACTGTACCTGTCAAGTCTCCCGTTTTGCGCTGGTGTCCAGTTCTCTCGCGATTCTATCCGCGCATACAACGATTGAATACAAATATGAGAAAATAGAGGGCTGTGAACTGTCTACTGATGTTCTTACCACATTTTGACGTGGTGATCTGTGATCCATTACTAAACAGACGCACGGCAAAATGGAATCTATTTGTTTTATATATTAATAAAGAGAAAATATTGTAAAAGATTCGAGAATAATTTGACTTACTAAAAACAAACAAACAAACAAACAAAAAAGACAAAAAAACAAGAAACCTTGAGAGTTACTATGTGTTGCCTGTCTTGTTTACCTAATTTTGATCTTCTTGAATCCCATTTCCCGCACGAAAAAATCGTTAATTCCTGCTTCGCGCCATGAAAATAAACAACTTCTCGCCTCCTGCCAGCTCCCCTCAAGTCTGCATCCCGCTTTCAAATTTTTTATGTCCCGCATCCCGATGGCGAAAAAAGGCCCTTCCGAATCCCGCCAACCCTTCGTTACTGACCCTCACCATCCATGTTTATTGAATAGAGAATAATACATGGGCGCGTGAAGATATGTTATTATGTTATTTCTCTTGGGGTGATCAACCTCGAAAAGAGAAATTCAATATCTTCAAGCAACCATGTATTATTTTGGTTATTATATAAACATACTGATAACGACGTATTTGACGGTTGTCCGAAGGTCACACCGAGGAAGATCCGAAGATGTTATAATCAAACACCAACAAATTTAAGTACAGTTGTAAAAGGGTCAAACAAAATGGAAAACATTACGTCATCGATATCATCGTAGTGAAATTAGCGTAATTTTACACGTCTTTTCTCCGAGCTGGAAATCCTTGTAAAACACCCTAGTTTCTTCCGGATTACTGATGGTATCCTATCCTCCTTCGTCACGCAATAAGTAATGGTATCCCAGCATAGAGCAATAGAAAAGCGTAAGCGATAGCAACGCGGAAGTGAATCAAAATAATTTGTGATTTTACTCGCCATGTCTCTATCTAGTACTCTCAGAAATCAGGGTAATGAGTTCTTTCGTCAAGCAGTCCGCTTGGATGTAGATTGTTCGCCACAACAGGCAAGGGATCTTTTTGAACGAGCGCTGTCTTGTTATTATCAAGCCAAAGACAAATCTAACAACCGTGAAGACGAATGCTCTGCTGCAAAGAACATCGGTAAAGCGGCATGGAAGATCGCGAGAGTGCTGACCAAGAGTGGGGACAAACCACAAACAATCATCTTCTACCTGCACGAGGCGATCAAAGGGTTGTGCACCGCTTACAGTAACAGTGAAGAATGCAAAGACCCTGAATGGAGAGGCGAAGTGTTTGAGACGATCAGTGTTTGTTTACAAGAAGTGATCGACGCGGCAGAAGCATTTGGACACGCCGATCAAAAGATCGCGCAGCTGGAGAAGCTCGTGGTCATCACCACAGTGAATGAAGCTGTCCCGGACATACAAATGAAATTGGCAACGAGCTACTTCCACGATGGTACGACGAAACTACAGAATGGCGACTACAAGAAATGCCTGTCACGCATGAAGGATTGTTATCGGCCTATTGAAGAAGTTAAACATCTGTCAAGCCGTTATGGCGGAGATTTAAAGTACGAGTTGCTGGAAGAAGCTGAAATCCTGGAGAAAGACGTGTTCTACCACACATGTGCGGCTTCTGCCTTCCAAGCTCGTGTTCACGGAGATGAACTTCTTCAAACGGCTTTGAAGGAGCAAGAAGAGCTAGACATGACGCTGATTTTCGAAGTGATCGACTGGTACAAGCAAGCGGTCGTGCTAGCGAGAGAGGTTGAGATCGAGCAGGAGGCCATCGCCGAGAGTCGTCTAGGTGTTGTCTACGACAAGGTTCTTAGGATGACATTGCGAGCTAAAGCGTACTTCACTCACAGCTTTGAGCTTGCGGAGTCTCTGAAACCTCGCGTTTTCACCTCCCAGGACTGGTACAAAGATTGTATCACGACGCTGAAGAAGTACCAAGACGAGGCTCGCCAGAGGGACGAGGAAGAACAACAGAAAGCTCGAGCGGCGTTTCTGGAGGAATTGTCTGAGGAGTTAGCTGACATAAGATCTCACAAAGCCCGGGCAGCCGACCTGATTAAACACGTGTATAGCAACTATCCACCTAAACATCCATCTTGGCAGAAACCCAGTGATGAAGACATGAAAAAATGGGGAGAAATGGAGTTAGATTCCAGAGATTACAAGAAGCTTCTTCTCAAAGCCCTCGGCTTCTACCATCCTGATAAGGTAGATGAAAAAATCCATGGTATGAAATGGAAAATTCTCTGTGGGGAGATCACTAAAATGCTTAATGATCATTACGAGGGAACAAAATTAGGCTCAAGAGGTTAAACTGGTGTAAACAGTATATGACTATGAACTGAAAGTACATTTAATAAGTTGTAGTGTGTTGGGCGATTAGTTGTCAAATGTAGGAAAACTGATACGGTCTTATGTATGATGACTGTGCACATCATTTACATCTACGCAAGTAGCAACACTTAATGAGAAAAGTTACACAATTTAAATATTTGAAAATTTCCAGACCGTAAAATGCCATGTTTTGTTCACCGTTTAATACAGAGTACAGTTAGCAAGGTAATTCTCACACTTTCAGTTCTTTATTGTAAATTTTTCTCTTTTTCCCGCTTTTATACATTATATTTCCTTATAAAGTAATTACATAAATCAGTACTGAGGTACTAAAGCATGCAAACATTAAAAACTAAGACACATTTATGTATTTTGCGTGTTGTTTCTAACTCAACCCACCCCAACACATTAAACTGAGTATCTCTAGAGGATTCACATTAAAGAATAATACAGGCAGCGCAATTTTGCAGCCGTTGTAAACTTTTGCTGGACGCCGTCGATGGTTCACCTCGACATGCAGTGTCAGCACAACTTAGGGTTGGCTCAATAAGGGTATAACGGACACACTGTCGCTTAAGATTGAGACAAGACCGTATTCGTGCTAAGTGCCCCAAACGTTTGTTAATTTTGTTACAAATACATTGGAACCCCGCTAATACGTCACCAACGGGCCATGAAGATTTGGCCGCATTAACGGGGTAGGGTCAATTAAACCTTAACTGAGTGACGTCTTAACACATTGCCGTAGCAAGGGAGGGACCGGGGAGGGGAGGGGGGGGGGGTGGTCACAGGCCCCAAAAGTGAAAACAGACATGTATAAAATGATGAAAATAAAATTTCATCTCCCAGTCGAAAGTGATGGCAGTGTACAGGGATAAGCTAGAACCCCAGCTGTTTCTGCTTCCAGAAATGGTGCAGGCAATCGAGTACGACACCTCTAGATTCGACATCGCCGATCTGCTGGACTTTTTTCAGTTACTTGGAAATGCTCTTTAACTCCTACTGAGTGAGATTTACACCCTTGCAAAGTTTATGCTTGTCATGCCAGCTACTAACGCCGTCAGCGAGCGCTCCTTCTCCGCCTGAAAGCGGGTCGAAACTTACATGCGCTCAACCACGGGAGTGACCAGGCGCATCCACCTCATGCTTCTGCATGTCCACAAGGAATTGGCAGATGGCATTGACATGGTGGAGGTCACCAATTTGTTTGTGGGGGACAACCAGCGGCGCAAGCACGTGTTTGGGAAGTTTTCGTAAAACGACAAGCCGATGAAGTCTGCATTTGCCTCTAGGGCAACTCAGACAGTTTAATAACGTACTAATACCGGACTCTGAGTCTCTGACAGATGAAACACTTGCTTGAGAGACAGTAGGTTTTGTTATTTTGTAATTAACGTTGCAAGTGTTGTACTTTTTTCAATCTGCATTGCTTTGCTGAGACGGTGTAGGAAGTAATTCGCGATACCTTTTCATCACAGATAGCTCTTGGAGAACGCTGGAAATAGCACTTCCGAACCTATAGCCTTCGGCGCTCGATTCTGTGCCCCTCAGTTTTCCCCCCTTAATTGCTACGGCACTGTTAACAGAAATATCACAGTTGCCATTCTAAACAACTGTTCTTTAATAAACATCCGAAATGCGGATATAATGTTTTTTAAAAACAATTAAAAGATTGAATCAGTAGCTATCAGTATGTAAAATAATAATGGAAAGATGAACATGGCTGGTTTGAGTGGCCGTATAAACGGGGTAACATTATATAACAATTATATCGGTCAGGATTTCAGCCGTTGGCTGTATTAACGGGGTGACCGCATTAACGGGCGTTCAGCCGGGACAAAAGAAAGTGGCCGTATTAACGAGGTAACCATAAGGCAGAGTTCCACTGTAATGTCAGTATTTTCTTTCCAAAGAAGCTGTTCATCAAGCATGACTCCTAGATGGTTAAACTTCTCAACCTGGATCCCAGGATCTCTCTCCTTTTCCTCTCTTGTCGTTGACGAGAGAGAGGCAAAGGCGAGAGAGAGAGAGAGAGAGAGAGAGAGAGAGAGAGAGAGAGAGAGAGCCTGGAATCGATGTTTTTCTGATCTAAGAATTTGATGACGTCAGTTATCAACAAAGAATTGCCGGCATTGAAAAACAAGCTGTGTTCACACTAGGCCTAACCATGTTTACTCTTATCACGAATGGAACGTTTCTCACTGCGAAAACTGTTCACTACAAGTGGTGCAGAACGCGACTCTTGATCAAAACAAGTTTATTCTGATCCAGTCTGAAACTATCCTACGAGGTAGCCTCGACCTCAATTAAACGAAACACGTTAAAGATGACGGTTGAAAGCAGAGAGGAATCAAGTCGAAATACCGTGAATACTCGAATTAGCGCCTCTCCTCAAATTAGCGCCCCTTCGAATAAGCGCCTCTCCTATCGGTCAAAATTTAAACTAAGCCCCTCCCCTCGACTAAGCGCCCCCATCCCCTCCCCCTGTTTTTTGGAAGGGTACTATAGAAATAGTGCTTTCTAAATAAAGTAATAGTAGTGGTGGTGGTGGTGGCGGCGGCGGTGGCGGTGGCGGTGGTAGTGGTGGTAGTGGTAGTATTACTACTACTACTATTATTATTATTATTATTATTATTATTATTATTATTATTATTATTACAAACCCGATCATATGTGATCACGATTTAAGAAAAAAAATAAATAAGCGCCTCCCTCACATAAGGCCTACTTGCCCAACCCAGCCCCCCCCCCCACGGGGGGGGGCGCTAATTCAAGCTTTATGGTATCCTGCATTGGGGCTACGACATTACACACGTTTTCTTTCAAATATGAGCTGATGATGAAGAGATCAAACAATCACGGACAGAAAACAGAACAGTTTTAAACAACATTCCAGTAAAACTACATAAAATTTAATATAGGAGCCAGGCGTAATTTGTGTTTGAAACGGACAAGTATATATTGTAAACAATGTAACTTCAAACATGTTTAGCAGAAACGAGTTTCGTTGATCTAAACATGTTTACTGTAAACAAACTTCGTTGCCAGTGTGAACGCAGTATATACTGCTTACATGAAAAATAATTCTTTTGTGACGCAAACAGTGCATTACTAACACGACAAATAAGGGTCTACTGACGTTAAAGGAATACTTCTAACTGATGAATAATAATGTTCTACTGACACAAAAGGAGTACTCATGAAAAATAAAATTCTCATGATGCAAAAGGAGTGATACTAACATGAAAATAAAGCTTATCTGTCGAAAAGGGAATTTCGTTAACATGAAAATCAAACTTCTTCGGACGCAAAAAGTAATATTACTATTATGAGTAATAAGTTTCTGCTAGCGTGAAACGATCTTTAGTAACACGACCTCTAGTAACATTGACGAAAAGAGAATATCTCTAATATAAAACAATAAATTTGCACTAACACAGAAAGGTATTTCAAATTCTAACATGCGAAATAAGGTTGTACTTACTTACATGTGTTTTACTAAGATGAAAACGATGCAAAGAGAGTGTTAATTAAAATCAACAAATTAGGTCTGCTGGACACAAAAGGGATGCTTTCTGTACGGCCATGTACCTACAAGATTGATGACGTAAAAGGGGTTTTACACGCCCGGAAATACACTTCACCTGACGCAAAAAGAGTATTACTGACAAGAAAAATATAGCTAACCTGACGCAAAAGGACTTTTCCGGACAATCGGCATTTTGTGTTCAAGGCTATGTTTAATGAAGTACATCTTTCACTGCTGTTGAACCGAGATAGTCCCTCTTTTTGGTGTGCTTCAAACAAGCAAAATTTGCTTACGCTGAGTTTGCCATTTAACTGAAAAGTGTAAATAGACCCTTATCGGTTTGCAGTCAATATTTTCTTTTATTCAGAATGGGAACGTGTATAGCAAAAATGGCGGGCAGAAATAAACACGAAAAGTCATTTGATGATCTCCGGAGTAAGCAAACTAGAACGGCAGCTGCAGAGAGAGAAAGAGCAGAACATGTTGCGAATATGTCACGACGTCAAGGCGAATCTTGTGTTGATGAAGAAGCAGATGAAGACACCAATCGAAGTAACCAGGAAGGATCCGGGAAGAAGAGAAAGACTCTACAAGAGTTGCACAAGAACCCGCGGCCTGGATTCAGAAAGTTCGAGTCCGAGGTAGACTGGCAAACAATTGACGAGGAAATCGCTCTTCAGCTTTGGGAGGATGTGTTCAAGCCGTTGTATACTTTTTGCTAACTGTATAAGTAATACAGACTGTTAAAACACATCCTTTATAATATAACTTAAAAGCATCATGTGTACATCACAATATTTTATTTAAATATGGCTATTTTGTTATTAATTTTATCTTCTGACTACCACCTGCCCAGTCGGTAAACATTAAGGATGTTTTGAATTCCACAGTGATCAAGTGCATTTCGCATTGCTTTCTCGCCACAACCTCTTAAATATTCGAAATCTCTCACTTTCATGACAAATTCACTGAAAAGTTATAAGCTTTTTACGTGGAATATGCAAAGAGAATTTGATGGTTGTCCACCTATGGTACTGTTAAGCCTCAAGCGTTTGATTTACCATGGTTCGCCTTCATTGACAAACTCTTATACTATACCGTCCATCTTGAATCTATACAAGCATCACCCTGAGCCTTAAATTAAGTGAAATTCAATTTCTGGTCATTTTACTTCCAACAATGAATAACATTTTGCAAAGAATAGAATTCCATTTTCGAGCCGTCATCATCTGAGACTTGAGAGGTACTTAGTGTAATGAATAGGATCTCAAATGGAGAAAGATAAGAGAAGGAGTTACTTCAGTTCTTTGAGCAAATCAATGATTTGTTTGTAAAATATTTTTGAAACAGTAGTAGACATACTGGAAAAGACATATGCTTGATCTTTTGCGATTCTATCACAACAATAGCCTCTTGATAACACAAGAGCTCTTTCTTTGTAGTAACTTGAATCTTATATCAGTCACAATTTGCAGCAAACACAATTGTGCAATTTGGTCTTTTTAAATCACGATTTGTATCAAGAAATTATGATCTAGATGATAGTCTCTTGCTTGAATTGATTAAAATACTTTTTTTTTCCACTCAAGTTCAGCCAAATGAAATTCCCTCTCCCATTTTCTCCGATTTTGGTAACCCTGGGAACACGGGTCATTCCAAACTGTATTAAGCACATGTTTCGTACAATTGACCGCTGGCACAGCGGGCTCAGAAACTAATAGAAATCACTGTTACATAACAGTATAACACACGTGTTCGACATAGCAGACACATAGCAGTTTTCACTTGAGGTGGAAGTAATTTGCATCATACCGTATTTGTTTTGGTTTTGCGTTACAATGCTGCGAGATTAGCTAAACCCGCGCCACTTTGTCAGCCAATTAGAAATAAAACCAAAACCAATTGCTGGTTTGAAAATTACACTGATTTTCTTTTATGTACTTTGACCTTACATAACTCCACTAAACGTAGAAAGTTTATTCCAATCACCAAACTCTTAGCTTAATCCAGTATTTCACATTATAATGATTATGCTTTCAACACTAGACCACTAAGTGAAATTGTCCTACATACATCGATATTCCTGCTCCCCCCCCTCCCGGGGGGGATAGACTCCCACATGAAAAGGACGAGAGTGCACGTCAAAAATTTTGAAAAGAACACCTAAGAGGTACCAAGGTCTTGT